TTAGATATGACTCATATATTAGATAAGGGACAGATGCTGGAGTGGAAAAGGGGCAAGTCAGCAGAGCAGAGCGGAAGCATCTGTCCAATGGGGAGAGTTTTGTTAAATGTGTTGAGGGTACGGAGGCAACACCCTCGCGGTACGGTACAGAGGTATTTTTATATTTTTATCTGTGGGTATTATCTATATATTATATTTGTAACCCTATGGATATTGTATTAAACTTTTCTTTTGAAATAGTGAAATCGCCGCTCTACTCCCGAGGACATAGGCACATTACCGAACCTCGTAAAATTTTTTGCGTTCTTGATTTTTCGTTTTTCTTCTTCTTCGGATTTTCACTTCAGCTATATACATCGAAAATTTGCGGCACTAATCCCAAGAAACTTTGGCGGTTCAGAAGAAAGAAAGTATGATAAATGAGAACTCATCGAAAGAAAAACAGGAGGCTCACTAATTTGATCGAATACATCCATCTGAGCTAGAGCAAGCAAGGTCAAAGGGATTGAATCATGAAGGCGACCGAATGCGAGTTGTTTTGTCAAAAATAGGATAAAGGGATACTCATGTCAACTATACAAGAAGCCAGTCGAAGGCAGCAGTTGACTTTCCGATAAATCTTACCTGATGAATGACTAAATTCTTCAATATCACCAGTCATTCCACATACACATCTGAGGCTTTTCATCAGAGATCAAGAGTTAACAATACAACATAGTCCTACAGTCATCCCACAGGCTCTCCTCTTTGAAGAACGAACTGATTGTCGGGTTATGGTGATTCACCATATGCCCCATAGTCTACCCTCACTCCAACGACATGAACTTCTCTTCCACGGATCAAAGGCCGACAATCATACTAGATCAATCGATCGACAAAGCCTAATTGATCAAATCCGTCCTGTCGACACGAAACAAATCAAGCTCAGCTGACCAATAACACCGGGTCAACCTAGTTGACTAAATCAGCCTCACCAAGTCGCAGACAAATAATTTCAGCTGACCAAGCTCAATTATTGAGAGACACATTGATAATCAAGCAAAATGTTCAAATTTATTTTGGCAATCTTCTTGACGTGATCGAACTAATTATAAGAGATCAAATTTACATAATGCGGATCGCAACATCGCAAGTTTGTTTTAGCCAAAAAAAAAAATACAAAAAACCTATTTATGAGTTGGATGTGTAAATGAGTATGGCAACACAACCGGTGCACAAGATTATAGGACTATAATTTCATTAGTTGCATAGTCAGCCATATGGAACTCGCTTAGTTAGTCTAGATGCATGGTCAAGATGCATGTCAACATGTGAAGTCAAGGCATGCGGTTAACATTGGCCAGGTTTATGTTGTCATTTATTTTGAGTTTGAAAAATAGATCTACTTGTGATAGCACTGTCTAATGACCAGATTGAATTAAGCGTTAGAATAAGCATTTGGTGATATTAAAGAAATTAGAATCGTTATAATTGACCATAATACATAACAACTTATGTGATAATATAAGTACATATAAGAATATGTAATAGAAAAAACATAAGAAGTTTGATCATACATATAATGGTTAACTAATCATAATTTATAATTCATTTCATAAAGAAAAGAACGGCCAAGTTGTAATTAAATAAAAATTAATATTTACTAAAAAATGCACAAATTAGTAATAGTTTATATGCCATGTCATTCTCTTTATACAAAATATAAATATATATATATATTAATAGAGCAAATGCAGTGTCGGATCAAGAGAAGAAATAGGAAGATATGAAAACGGGCGATAGGATGGTGGTGGTAATGAGCGGCCATTGGAGAGTGATCGGGCAAGAAGATTCATGTTTTATCTCAAGTTAATCAATACCATTCTAGTTGTCCTCCTAAAAACAAATAATAATAATAATATTGATACGACAACAACAAATTTTTATCATCTAACATGAATCTCGATGTAAATTTTTTAGCAAGAGAAATTCAAGCTTCGATAAAAAATTACTCGGAACTTTGATTTCAACGAACTTATAGTCAAACTAATTGATTCAACGAGACGGGTCGATGCATACCAAAACTCATCGAATCCAAGTGAAATCAGGCCCAGAGCAAACTGTTAACTGCTTTTGAAAGTTTTTCAGTGTATAATTGGAAGATCAAATGGATTCCAAATCCGACATGCTTATAGTCAAATCAAGCAACTCGACAATAAAAATCCAATGAGCCCATGATCACTCAATTTCAACATCATTAAGGCACTTAAAGGTCCACAGGACGTCGTTCGATATATGGAACCTCTTTGTGTCGTCTGATAAAGTGGTTTGGATTCCTTCCTTATTTGCAATTTAGACTCTATAAATAGATCTTTACGCCCTCTTGAAAGGGGGTAAACCTTGAGCCAGAAGAAGATAGAAGCTTGGAGAGGGGGTTGCGAGCCAGCATCGCTTCTGCACCACTGATACCGCGAATACCTCCTACTCTGGCAACCATCGCTGCCAACTCTAACCAATGCCGCTAGCTAGCTCCGATTATCACTGTCGCAACAAACTTCAGCCAACTCCGGCCACCATCGCCTCTCACCAACTCTAACTGTCGCCCACCGACCACCGATCGCCCGCCGACCACCGACCACCAACCACTGACCACCGACCACCGACCATCGTTGATCACTATCGACCATCACTTAATTCTGGTAGTGAAGTCCATTACAAACTCCTAACATGCATTATGAAATCCCGGCATACACTATGAAATAGTGAATCACCAAGTGGAGCAATGCATCATTCAGTACACCGTGTAGCAACACATCCTGAAAATGGTGCAACGATGCACCAAGATGACGATATCAGAACGCACCCCACATACAGTGTGATGATACCTCTTAAAGAGTATGCAACGACACACTTTAATGATGGTATAACAACGCATTATGCATACAGTGTGAAGATGCCTCGTGAAGACGGTGTAACAACACATCCTGAATAAAGTGTAACAACGCAACTCGAAAATGATGTAACAGCGCACCGTGCGCAATGATGCCTCCCGAAGTTGGTGTAACAATGCACCCCACATATTGTACGACGTCAGCTCCTAAAGACGGTGCAGTTACACAACCTGAATGGTGTAACAACACATCTCACATACAATGTGACGACGCCTCCCGAAGATAGTGTAGTAATACACCACAAATACGATGTCATGACACAAGCCGATAATAGTGTAACAAAGCACCCAATATACAATGCAACAATGCCTTATGAAGACAGTGTAATAACACACCCAAATCAATGCAATGACACACCTTGATGACGGTGCAACAATGCATCCTACATACAATGCGACAACACCTCTCGAAGACATTGTAACGAAAAAACCCTAAATATGATATAACGACAAGTCCACATGACGCTGGAGCAACGCACCCCGTATACTGTGCAAGGACTTCTCTCGAAGATGGTGTAATAATGTTCCCTGAAAATGGTTACTTTCTCTAAACTTCTAAATCTCTCTTCTTGCAGCCAAATATTACAGCTTACGTTGCTCACAATTCATGCAGCTCCCGACTCCGACCCCCACTGCATACATATGTCATCACAATTTACCTCTATGGTCTACATGGCTCATAGCCCGTGAAACTCCCAACCCCGGTTTTTGCGGCCTACAAACATATTCACAACTCACCACTACGACCTACAAGACTAACCATGACCTATGTTGCTCAGAGCTCGTGCAGCTCTCGATTTTAGCCCCTACAACCTACGAACGCCATCACAGCTGACCGCTACAGCTTATGTGACAAAGCTTGTGCAGCACCCCCTCTACGACGTACGAATATCATCATAACTCACCTCTACGACGTACGAATATCATCATAACTCACCTCTACGGCCTACGTGACCAACTACAATCTTCTTGTCTCATAACTCGTGTTGCTCTCAAGTTCAGCCTCTGCTACATAGAGATGTTATTGCAACTCACCAATACAACATATGTGTCCAACTATGACCTACATAACTCATATCTCATGCAGCTTCTTACTCAAGCCTCTACGAACTTGCAGCTCACCACTATGACCTATGTGATCAATTACGACCCGCGTGACTCATAGCTCGTGCAGCTCCTAGCTCCGGTCTCTATGGCCTACAGGCGTCATCACAACTCATTATTATGCCCTATGTGACGAACTACGAGCTACACGATCAATAGTTAGTGCAACTCCGACTCCGACCACTGTGGCGTAAAAACTTCATCACAACTCAACAGTATGACCTGTGTGGCTCATAGATCGTGCAGTCCCCGACTCTGTCCCTTGCAACCTACAAATGTAATCACAACTTATCACTATGGCTAATGTGATCAACTACGATGTGCATGACCTACAACTCGTGCAACTACAGACCCTTGTCTCTGTGGCTTACTGATGTAATCACAACTCATCACTACGATCTATATGATCAACTACGATTTATGTGACCCGCAACTCATATAGCTCCCAACTCTGGCCTCTATGGCTTATCAAACTTATCACAACTCACCACTTCTGCATTCGTGACTAACTACAACCTACATGGCTCACGACTCATGTAACATCATACTACAGCCTTTGTGGTCAACCAATGTTCCTAAAGCAATTATTTGTGACCCCACACGACCAATTACTACCTTGACTTTCAATCACAGGTCCACTTTATTGCCTCATCTTTCCTAATCCAGAAAAAAAAAGTAGTTATGTGTAGTCAACATTCATAATGAAATATTTCAGCTGGATTAAGCCTCTTAATTTTTTTTCTCACATCCAAAATTTTTTTCTATTACCGTAGACCTTCTAATACGCATCAATAATAATAACCATAATAAGTAATATTGTTATTATTATTATTGCCGTATGTGACATATAGATTTCTCTAATAATAATATATAAGAAGATTTACGTGGATGTCACTCAAATCTTATGTATTTATATATCTCCAACCTAATCTTTAATTTCTATGTACATTTGCCACCCTAAATCCTCAATAAACTGCAGAAGCCACCAATTCCATGGCAGATTCCCAGGTGCCTCTTCGCGCAGCCGTGACCGGACCCACTCCACTCAAATCTCTAGCCGTCCGTTTCCATCTCGACGGCTAATGGACCACCCCAACTCCTTATATCGCCTCCCCTGTCGCGGCTTCGCTTCTCGCTCTTATTTCCAACTCCCCTGACCAGCCTCCGCTGCACAACACTCTCCAATGGCCGTACATTACCGCCACCCTCCCGTCGCCGCCCGTTTTCATGTCTTCCTATTTCTTCTCTTGATCGGACACTGCGTCGAAGCCCAATCACCGCCTAATGAAATCACCAGCAACAATAGCCCTAACATATCGCCCACTTTCAACCCATCCATGGCCATCATCATCGTCTTGCTTGTCAGCGCCTTCTTCTTCCTCGGCTTCTTCTCCATCTACATCCGCAACTGCAGCAACGAACAAAACAACAGCTTCGCCGTCGCCCCCGCCGCCGCCGCCATCTCCCGCATACGGATTCAACAGGGGCTTGATCCTCACGTTCTCGAAAATTTTCCGACGCTGGTGTATTCAGAAGTGAAGGAACACAAAATCGGAAAGGGCGCGCTCGAGTGTGCGATCTGTCTCAACGAATTCGAGGACGACGAGACCATCCGCCTCCTCCCCGAATGCGACCACGTGTTCCATCTGGAGTGCATAGATGCCTGGCTCGGCACCCATGTCACTTGCCCTGTTTGCCGTACTAATTACGCCCTCCATTACCCCAATCGTACATCCAGAATACCCGCGCGGAACGAAGGCTCGCTCGTCGCCTCGGCGCCGCTGGAGCCCGTTTTACCTCCCGATGCTCCGCCGGCGCATCATGTGGTGATTACGCTGGATGATATGGATGAGAGGAAAGCAGAGATGAGGGAGTTTGCGAGGATCGCGAGCAGGGTGAGGGGTAATGGGCCGAGGAAGTCCAAGCGGTTGTCTAAATCTCATTCCACGGGGCATTCGATGATTCTGCAAGGAGAGGCGAATCTTGATCGATACACGTTGCGGCTGCCGGAGAACTTGAGGAAGGAGATCATCGCGGCCGGGAAGCTCCAGAGGGCGAGTACCTTCGCCGTGACGGTGAGTGTGGGTGGCGCCGGCGAGACGAGTATGAGGAAGATTTCGAGGGGAGGTGGGGAAGGAACCAGCCGGAGTAGCCGCGCTATTCGGCTCGGCCGGTCGGACCGGTGGCCGTCTTTCTTCGCGCGCTCGCTGTCTTCGAAGATTTCGACGTTCGGGAACAGGAGGAAGGGGGAGGAAGCAAACGAAAAGGACATGGTCATGACCAGGAAGTTAAGCGGCGTTAAAGCTGCAGTGGATAGTCGCGACGGCGGCGGCGGCGGTAAGGGGGCAGTGGATAGCCGGGACGGCGGCGGCGGCGGCGGCGGCGGCAACTACTCCGACGAGGCGTCGACGGCGCCGCTAAACCGGGTTTAAGTGCGAGGGGGACCGGAGGTCTTTTGATGTTTTATTATGGGTAATAATCTTGAGGGAATTAGGGGCATTTACATACATACCAACCCAATCCTGTGTATTTAGATGTATAACACCTCATTTTAATTTTTATACATATAGCACCAAAAATTTTCATACCACATCAAAACTTTCATTATTTTATTTTTAAAAAAGTGAAATACACATTTTCAATATGTAAAACTTGAAGTTCAGGAGTTTGATGTATGAATACATGGGAGTTGAGTGGTATGTATGTAAATACATAAGAATTCAGTGCAATGTATGTATATCTTTCTAATCTTTATTTTTCAAGAGAAGATTATTGAGAAATATGATAATTAATTTGTACATGAAAATTACTATTTTTTGTCCCCAATTTGTATTTATATTAATATTGTTTTTTATGTTATGCTAATACATTAAGTGATATACGAAAATATTAAAGTTTAGATGTATGTAAATAAATAAAAATTGTGGTTGGTATTTATAAAATAGAAAATTTACATACATAGTACACAATTCTTATGTATTTATATGTCTAATACCTAAACTTTTATATTATATAAGCATTTTGGTGTTTTAAACCTATGCTTGATAATGTGTATTTTACCTTTTATGATTGATTATAATGTTATATTTAATACAATATTAAAGATTTGAATGTTATGTGTATAAATATGTAAGTTTAGGAGTAGGATATGTGAATGTTTAAGAATGTGTGCTAGTAATTGAATGCCTCTTGTAAAATTCCCGAAGCACATTGAAAAGTTAGAATAATGAAGAAAAGAGACAGAAGAGCACTAAAGCTTTATAGTTTTACTATAATAGAATTAAGTACTAGATATTATCCTCTAAGAAAATGTTCCTTTGAATCTATATTTCTAATTTTTTAGGTGTTGCTAGAAAATTCATAAGAAATTTATAAATAAATAAGCACATGATTAGATTATTACAATTCTATGAGCATTGAATCATGTTTCCAATGAGTATACATAAATGGTTGCTTAACAAATGCTTCAAAAGCATTTGTAAGCATTTGTAGCTGAGTATTAACCTCATTCGTAATTTCATGTATTTTTAATCTCCAAAATATTACTAAAAACTTGACTCAATTTATATTCAACGACTAATATGAATAAATATAATGATATGAAAAATAAATAAATAAACTTCACACTAGAGGTACTTTATAAGTATATGTATCGTTTCAAGTAATATAGGACTTTCTTTAAAAACACCAATATCGATTCAACCAGGATAGTTGAACTATTTAAATTGGCTTGCTAAACTCAAAAGCAAATTCTATTTAAATTGCAGATTTAAATGACAACGGTTAAAAGTAAATTAAAGCAGATAAAAATAACTACATCGACCTGCCTTTACCATGATAGGCGAGATCGACACTCAAATGGGTGCCTTAGCGACCAACCCATGGCGCGGTCGCCACTTAGCCGGTTGCCTCAGTCAGTTGAATTCAAGCAAGTCCACTGACCAAGTTACGATCATGTTAAAATTCAAATTATAATGCCTATATAGTATGAAATCCATAGAATTAATTAAACCATCAATTGTATTAAAAGCGGGTTTCATAATTGTTCCCTCTTTTTTGTAATTGTACAAAATATGTTTCTATTAATAAGAGACAAAAAACGAACAAAAATATCTTTTATCGACTCTCTCAATAGGAAACTCCTGATTTACTATACCCTCTTTCTCTCTTCCTTCCTTCACTCAATCCTAAAATCTCGGCGTTTGTTCCCAAAGAACAATTTAGGACTCTAACACTTTGACTGGGCAAGCCACATGATTTTTTTTACGTAAAAAAAAAAATATCTCCTCTCGGAGTTTGTCATTTATTTGTATGTGCATAAGATCTTCATTCAACACAAAGATATTAAATTATCATTCTATCTCCGCGAATTTTCTAGTACGAAAAAAATATAGTTCTAAATTTTATTCAGAATAAAATTAAAACTTACACATCCATTTATATTCAGTAAAAAAATGATTAGACCAAAGTTCTGTTAATTTGCTTTCCACATGTTAATACCAACAACTGTTTACAGCCAATTAGCAGTTCTTTTCACAAGCAAAGACGATACTATCTATCTAAATGGATTGTCCTTTTTTGTTTTTGGTTTTCATTAATAAAATAGGTTTGCGTTAATCAGCATTTTTTGGCCTAATATTGACAGGTCGCGCTCTGCATCGCGTGATAATTTAAGCCGAGAGAGAGCTTCTTCCGGCAGTTGCCTAATGGCAGCTTGGAGCTAGGTAAGCAAAAAATAAATAAATAGGGCTATGCATGGAAATATGACAGTTTATGTGTGAGATATGTAAATTCATAACATTAGTGTGTTACGGCTGTAAGTTTCCCTATATTAATTATGAAAATTTCCAAGTTTATAAAAGTAAAATGTGAGGTGGGCTTAGAACATTTGTCAGCAAGAATCTCGAATTAATTTGACGGTCTAAGAAAGAATGACGTGACAAAGACGAGCCAACTGAAAAACGATCCAGTGGCCAGCAGTCAAATATCATATGAACCAATTAAATAATACACGTTTAAGCAAGTCATCATGATGGCAGAGAACTGAGGAAACCCTCAAGGCATCATGGGGTCACGAGCCTCAACCACCTTCAGCTGGGGCTCCTCAACCAATAGGTAAACTACTCGTTAGATTACATTCACCCTTTACCCGATGGCCTAGTTTTATTCAGCCAGTGGAAATTCTCATGACGGGAATTGAGGGTTTACGACCAAATCAATATATCCAGCAGACTAGTGTGAACCGACAGAATCAGTCCCGTCCACTATCTTTGTAAATCTAGTCGTCTGTTCATACCTAAAGAGTCAACCGACTGATGGTCTTTATCCAATACGTTGACTAGCAACATTAAAAATCTCACCTTATTAGCCCAGACAACCGAGTCAAAGAATAGCAAGGACCTGAGCCCACAGAGCTATAGTTCCCAGAATAACTTGTAGAAACCCTTTTTAACATAGGCATAAATGTTACTTCAACACTTGTACCCTTTTATTTATAAATAGAGAATCATTTCATGAATAAATGACTACGTAATGGCCTCGTTTTACTGTTCATCAGAGCACTTAGTTCTCCCTGTTTTTATTTCTTACAAGAAAATCTTGGATTCAACATGAGGGTTATAAGAAAAGTTAATCAAATATATTATATCAAATTCATTTTTGTTAAAAGTTGGTTTAAAATTGCGTAGGATTAACAGATTCTCAGCTAAAATTAAGCATTCCGCAAAATACTTGTTCTCTATTTTTAATCATTACAATTAGTGACTTTTTAAAATAATGCTCGATTTCAATGGTTGGAATTTAAAAGATTTTATTTTTTAAAATTAAAATTTGTCTATACATGATATTTATTTAATTAAAAATGAATTTATTTTAATTTCATATTTATAATTATTAATTGTCAATCTTAACTTAATTATTTTATAGCTAATATTTTTATTAAGAAAATTGTATATCCATTTATTTTCACTCAAAATATGCTGGTAATGATAGAATATTGAAAGTGTACTTAAATCCTAATATAATATAAAAATTGAAAAAAATATTTGTGGAATATTAGGATTGTATCAAAGCCTAATAAAAGGTCAAGTTGAAACCTAAAATCCTAAATAATTATTATAGCTATATTTAT